CCCCCCCCCCGCCAAAATGACAGGCTGCAGGTTTATGTTAATAACTACAAAGCTGACCAAGCTTTCCTCAATGCAGACTCTGGAAAGTTACGTAGTCCTCTCATATTCTGGACCATATTGGATTTAAGTCTTCCTTTTTCTTCAACTTGTAAGCTGAATGTGTTCCTAAGAAACTACATGGAAAAAAAGAGCCTATCTTCAATTCTAAACAACTGTAGCTGTTCAGTTTAGGGCCCTTAACCCTTTTATGTCAGACTGAGTTACTGGTGAAAAACCTGTAATTGTAACTGAGATGACGAAGAACTGCTGCCAAAACAAATTACATGGTACGTATCTCTTGACAGCTGAGGATCTAAATTTTTTACTACTTTACCCAACCCCACACCTGCTCTTTTAAGGAGCAACAGATGAAAACTTCCCTTTACAGCAGCAAAGACCTCTACAGAATACCTTGACTCACCTTTACCTAAGATACAAAAATTTCTGCAAAATCAAAGTTTGCAGTAAAAATGTAAACAAAAAATACTTTTAGTCTGGGTCTACTCTAAAAAATGCTACACAGGAAAAATATAATTTTATTTAACCAATACACGTGTTGTATGTATTTGGAACTCTGTTTACAACCATTGATAACGTTATCACACTTTTTTTTTTCCCCATTGAAGAGCTTAATAGTTTATAGAGAACAATTAATTTGATTGAACAAGACCCATATGTGCAAATTCTCCAGGGGGAAAAAAGAGCATTCCCAGATTTAATGGATTTAGACTGGTGCTAAAGAACTCTAGTTGGTTCTTTGTCAGGTAAAGTTTCTGAGATCCAAACATTTAGAAAAAATGTTTCTTAAGTCAGTACATAGTATGTAGATGTAACTGCAAGATAAGCCAAACAATATAGTTTCAATAGTCTCCTTCAAGTGTACTTAAGTGTAAACTATTTCACATTACAGCAGCATCCATAGAATGCTGCCTACTGCCCAATGAAACACAGACCTTGCTCAGTTGTCTTGTGTCTTTACTACTGTCACAAGTAACATTGATTCAATGTTCTTACCAGAACTTTAATTTTTCAGTTCAAAAAATATACAAAGCAAGCAGAATGTTCATAATTATAACCCATCTGTTCCCACGTGGATGAGGGATACGTTTGTTTAAACATGCTAGAAAAACATGAAGAACCATGTAACTTGATCCAGAAAAAGAGCACCTCTGTAACATTCCCATTTAAGTCAAACTTCAAACTGAATGCTTTTAACGCTACCTAGAGACATGAATAGTCATCAGAGCTTGGATTACACAGCATGAATACCCAGAAACTAGCTCCATCAGACTTATGGCAGGACAGGCTGGGGGCAGGGAGATGAGGGAAGATTAAAAAAAGAGAAATACCCAAGTTCTCCCCTGGTCGATCAAAAGGACATTCATAAGCGTGCAGTATTTCCCAAAACCAATTCAGTTTACTTGCAAGGAATTTTCAAATTAAGATAGTTCTCAGAGATGAAATAACTTGAAAAATTTTTGATTCCTACTTACTTTTTTAAAGTGAGTAGCTGATTGCACTTTTCTAACAGGCTGCATCAGTGCATCACGTACAATGATGCTTATATCTGCACCAGAATAGCCATCAGTTCTCTTTCCAAGCTCTTGATAATCTGATTCCGTTAGGAGATTCGGAGTTGACCCAAGGTGAAGTTTGAACATTGCAGCCCTGGCATGGTCTTCAGGTAAAGGAATATAGATACGCTTCTCAAACCTTATTTAAAAAAGAAAAAACAAAATGTTCCACAGATGCTAGCTCATGCAGGTGCACAGTGGAAAGAAGCTTATGCAAATAAGTACATAGTTTGCTCCTAACAATATTAGAAAGAAGCAGTTTCAGTATTATAAACCTTTAAAAAAATTTTCTAAGGCAAATATTCAACAACCTGTTCTCATACATACTGTAGCTAGCATAAGCTAACATCCAGAATATAGCAACTACTTCCTTATCACGACAAAGATCTTCTCTTCAGACTGAAATTTTTCCAGATATTCTCCATCAGAGTTTGTTTTAAAAGAAAAAACTGAGGGGAAAAAGTCTTCAAGTGTTGAAGTATATTTGAACAGTTTTCACACTCAAAGAACTGCCTGATAACAAGCCGACACAACAACTTTCTACAGTCTCCAACTAAATTAAAGGAAACCTCGTAGTTGGAAGCAAATTTGAAGTCAGATTCTCAATACAGTTGTCAGAAAATGTTGATAACTGCAGTTTTTCCTTTGAAGCAGCATCTGTTCTCACAGTGGGGATTACCTCCCACCAACAAAATAGGAGCGACTCCAAATTCTGTAGAAGACAACCAACTCGATATACATGACAAAGTGGACCAAATCCATGAAAACCTCATTTGATTACTGCCATTGTTGTACAAGTTCCTTTAAGTCTTACGGACAAGACTTAGAGAGCTACTCTTTCACACTGCAGAGATCAGAGAATGGTTTGGGTTGGGAGGGGCCTTTAAAGGTCATCTAGTCCAACCCCCCTGCAATGAACAGGGACATCTTCAACTGGACCAGGTTGCTCAAAACCCCATCCAACCTGACTTTGGACACTTCTAATGATGGGGCATCCATAACTTCTCTGGGCAACCTGTTCCAGTGTCTCACCACCCTCATAATAAAAAATTTCTTCCTTATGTCCAAACATGGACATAAGGAAGATATGTCTAAGACATAAGGATATGTCTAAACCTACCCTCTTTCAGTTTAAAACCGTTGCCCCTTGTCCTGTCACTACAGGCCTTGGTAAAAAAATCCAAAACATCTCTCCATCTTTCTTATAAGCCCCCTTTACATATTGAAAGGTCACAGTAAGGTCTCCCTGGACCCTTCTTTTCTCCAGGCTGAACAACCCCAGCTCTCTCAGCCTTTCTTCACAGGAGAGGTATACCAGCCCTCTGATCATTTTTGTGGCCCCCTTCTGGACCCACTCTATCAGGTCCATCCATACCTGCCTTGTGCTGTGGACCGCAGAGCTGGAACTTCAAAAATGACTTGAAATTTTAAGCAACACCTTCACTTCTAAATGTCTAGCACAAAACTATAGTCATACAGGTTGGAAGCAACCTCTGGAGGTCACCTGGTCCGACCCCCAAAGTATGGCCAGCTTCAATTAAGTACATAAAAGTCAGTGACAGGCACAAAAAAGTAATGTTTCTTTAGCCTACAAAAATGACCATTATCCAAGCTGTGTTCTCATCACAACATAATCATATTTGTCACATAGCTGTTATTTGTCCTCTGCTGCTCTGCAGCTCAAAAAAGACCCAGCTAATTAGATACAGGTATGGAAGTCCTTTATCTACAAAACAGCAGTTAAAGCATGCACTGAAAGATCACAAATTATGCCTGACCAGTAGAAAAACATGCTGTTTCTGTGTAACATAAGGCTACATTTCCATGAAAGAACTCAAGCTGCTCAACAGTTTAACAGCTGAAAAGGAAAGCTCTACCCCTTCTCGTCCTTCTGAGGTACATATTTTGTAACTTGTCCCCCAAGCCCACCAGAAAACCAACCAACAGGGAAACAGAATAGTTTTCTGCTTGCTCAAGCACAATCATCTAACCAAGAAATCAAATAAACTACAGGGCCAATATAAGAGTGAACAACCTACCTCTTTAAAGGGGCAAGGGGCTCTTAGATTGGCTCAGTCCATCTCATGGAATTGAGTTGTAGAACATTAGCCATGTCCACAAACATGAGCTGGATTACTACCTGAAGTAGTCTCAGACTGAACTCTCACAACAGTTGCAAATTTCATACCATGAAAAAAATGCCATCATACCTTCTCCTGATAGCAGAATCCAAAACCCAGGGTATGTTTGTTGCTCCTAAGACCAAGATTCCTTCATTGTCAACACCAACCCCTACAGCAGGGCAGAAATCATTTCACTGTTTAGATGATAAACAGAGACTGTTTTAAAATGTTGTGGAACTGCACATCTTTTTAGTGTTCTCATGCAAGCTATACTTAAAATACCTATCTTAATTCCTTTAACTGATTCTGAAAACCAAGTAAACTTACCTTGCATCTGGACTAGAAATTCTGTTTTTATCCGTCTAGCAGCCTCACTTTCATTTTCACTTCTTGACCCGCAGAGGGAATCTATCTCATCAATGAAGATAATAGAAGGTTTGTTTTCTCTGGCAAGCTGGAACAAGTTTTTCACTAATCTTAAAAAAGGAAACAGCTTCAGTTATCTTAATGATTACACCAGTAAAAACACATAACTTAAGATTACAATACAGTCACTTCCTTTAGAGAAAGCTAAAAAAAGAAAAGTATTAACATAAAGCTACTCAAAGACACAACATTCTTCCAGCTCCAAGACTCAGCATTATACTGAGCGAGATAGCCCAGCTTAAAGGGAGGTGAAACATTTTAGAGTACTCCAAGCATGGTTTTGCAAGAAAAAACCCTTTTTTAGTTTACATTTCTACAAGACAGCCTGGACTATACAAAACCACCACTTTTGGCAGATTCAAAAGAACATGGCTTTCTCTTATTTAACATTTGTAACCTAATCAGGTTAACTCTAGAGATTTTGTAAGAAATAACATGTACATTTATGTTATAAAACTTTACTAAATACCTTTTGTATGACAAGAAAAGTTGGTTTGCAAAAAAAACCCTAGCCATAACATATTTTACTCAGTTAAAAAGGAAAATAAATAGGAACATGCTGGGAAATTCTTCACATTACCATCACTAAATCTCAGGCAACAGTCTCAAATGAAGTCAAACAGAAAAAACGCCAAGCTGGACTCCAGTTCTGTATTCCTTTTGCAACAGAAAAGCAGCTTAAGGTTTCCAGCTTTGAGGAAAAAAAACAGCTCAAACACTTTTATCTAGTGGCCTTTCTTCCTCATCCTATCAACTTTAAATAGTGTTGCTCAGTTGTCCCACACTTCAAAGTATTAAAGCATGGTTTTGACAAGTATTCTCATCATCACAGAAAGTCTCTTCTGTACAAACCCAGAGCTTTTTCTTAATTCAGGTAATCTTCATTGGAAACCTAGATGGACAAATTCCTGCGCTTCTAGACTGCAGACAACACGTCACTTCAGGCTTCCTGGTCATCTTCACACATCATATAGTAACAAACAGTTAGCATGGGGAACCATGAAATTTTCTTTCATGGCTGCTCCTCTCCTTTAACCTATTTTTGCAAGTCTCTTATGTCTTCCAGATTTTGTTTGAAATCAGAATAAAGAAAAAACACCTCCGTATGGATGAAGAAATGGCATGTGTTAACAGCACAGCTGCTGGGACAGATGAGTGGGGACATGCCAAGAGGCAGAGCACCCCAACGCTTCAGACTGATGTAGTGTGCAATCACAGCTGAGTTCAGAAGGGGAATGAGCTCCATGGTGGTCCCAAAACCTAAGCTAGTTTTAAAAACTGTCTTGAGCACTGAAGAGAGGTCCAGCTGCAGCAGCACAAAATGTAGTACATGATGATATCTTTACATGGCACTGCAGCATGAAGCATAGAAACACCTGAGGTTTGTTTTTAAAAAGACATGACCCTTCCCTCAAATTCAATTTCTTTACAGCAACTTATCTAGCTCTATATTAACTTCTTCTTGCCAATGTTTTCCTGGACCTCTGGCAACTCCAACTTACTTTTCACTTTCACCTAACCACTTTGAGACAAGGTCAGAGGAAGATACTGAGAAGAAGGTGGAGTTGTTTGCTTCTGTCGCCACAGCTTTTGCTAAATAAGACTTTCCTGTTCCTGGTGGTCCAAACAGGAGGATCCCTCTCCAGGGTGTTCTCTTTCCTGCAAGAGAGAAACCAGCAGTCTTCAAAATACTGTAGAAAGACTGGACCTATTTTTCTGATGAAGCCCCTCTAATTTACTCAGAGGTTTTCCACATCTACCCATGAAACTTCTGTCAGATGGATCACAATCTTTTTTAAGAGCTCAGCTTGAATCTGATAACACTGGCACAACACTCCTCAGACCCCACTGCCGTTCCTGACTGGCCAATAGCAAATAAATGCTTTAATTCTGACCTGTAAACAGGTGTGGAAATTTAATGGGCAAGATCACTGCTTCTTTAAGTGCTTCTTTGGCACCTTCGAGGCCAGCAACATCACTCCATTTGACATTTGGTCGCTCCATAACAATTGCTCCTATAAGAAAAGATTGTATAAATTAGTGATGCACATATCTTTTCACAACTTCAACAAATTCCATTTTGGAAAAAAATAAATTAGGAAATCTATGCCCATGTCCATACTGAATAAAAACAAGGCATTTCTAAGTAGATATAAACATCGAATACTGTTAGTCAAATGGACGTTATTTCTACAGAAATCTGTCACATTGTTTTATCACAATAAACCATGGATAACCAGAATACTCGAGAGTTAGTAGAAGTCCTGCAATGGTTAAAGCTAGCCCAAACCTGACCAGCAAATGTGCATTTAGTAGTCACAGAGGAGTAGCACCTTCTCTAACAGGTACCCAGGCATCATCTCCTCACTAAACCATCACTGTACTTCCTGAAAAATTTGAAACTTCATTTTAAACAAGGGAAGCAATGTAGCTGCACTAGCCCAGGATTTATAAGATTCTCCAGCAGATGAAGTAACTTGTTGAGTATCTCCAGATGGGCAGCAAACAATTGGATCATCTAATGGTAAAGAGCTTTGAGAGCTAGGGCTGAAAGCATGGGAAAGGTTTTATGGAGCCTGCTTAGCTGCAGAAGCAGCGTCTTCTTAGTCTAGCCACATTCTCTCAAAAGTTTATCACAAGGTCTCATCTTGCTCAACCAACTAGTTCAGCTTGATTTTAGCTAACTGAGCTGTAATTTAGCCTTCACTTCAGACTGGTTAGTCTGACATGCTAAAAATGGTATTGTCTTGACTACTTTTAGATGGGACAACTTGGATCTGAGCTAGTAGCTGAATAATAGATCTTGTAATCCTAGCCAAGGCAAATCCAAAAGGTAAGCAAAATTTTCTAACATGAACAAATGACAACCAACCCAATGCTTATCTAAGTACACTGAAAGTTTCAGTTGCCCTATTTCTCTACAAGGAGCTTTCTAAAACTTCACAACTGGCTTTCACCAGCTCTTTTCTTGACACTTTCACCTTCTGCCTTCAGGGCTCTGAAGTAATTTAAGGCTTTTTTTCTTCTACAGGATTGATTGTTACTCACTGGCTAATGAATAAAGCAAATAACACTTGCTTACTTTTTAAGTATCTCCTTTGAGATTTTTTTCTTTTGCTGCATTCCTTTTCTATCAGATTGAAATGAACAATTTCTGTTAACAATTGCAATTGCTAACAATGTGGAATTTAGAGTCCAAAAGCAACATCGTATTGTTAAAGATGTTACAAATGTTACAGAGAAAGTTGACTGCAAACCATCTTGGCTTGCAATCTATTTACTGGAATTAATTCAACCACCCACTTCCAATGCATTAAATTCTTTTGCTAGATTGATTACATCTCAGTTTTTCTTAAAGTAAACAGAACTATGGGCTCTATCACTAAAATAATTAGCAGAATAGGTACCAGTTCAGATAGGAACAGGAGATTATTTTAAAGTTGAAATATCAGAGTTATCTTAACGAGACATGCCATGGTAACTGAAATCACTGCACTGTAAGAGATTACCTGTACCAGGACACAAATCAAACTGGAATCGTAGGCTTCCTAATTTTGTAGGTGTAAATTAATAGCTGGAAGATTAAGCAATAGAGTACAAAAGGTACTTTAAAATACTAAACAAGAGTACATGACAATAGACCCACAACTAACTATCCAGTCTTAATGTTACTGGTCACTTCACCTACAATAAGCCAAGTTGCTATTATAATTAAAAACCTGATAAATACCCACAGATTTGGGGAAGTTCCATAAGGCAGAGTCAGCTGGGAGTAACAAGGCAGCAAAATTAAATACAAAAAATTTCTGTGGCTGTTGTGGGAAGCAAAATGAAAATGAGCAATCTGAAGGCTGCCCAGAGCTTGTATTATCTGAGTAACAGACTCCTATGTTATGTTTAAAGGTACCAAGGATCTCACACCTCAGACTTTCAAGCAATCAAATGTATAAGCAAGAACGTCGTCATTTTATAGAAAGTATCAAAGAAGTGGTGGGTGCAAGAAACTACTTCTTGAAGTAAGAACTGAAAATCAGATTCATGTGGGAAGAAACAAAGCCTTTATAGTGAGAGACAGGACAACAGTCTAATGCTCATCATTTTTCTGTCATTTTAAAATATAGGAAACTGTCCCATATAACTGTGCATAACATTAAATAAATGTGCAGAGAAGTAGAAAAAAAACTTGGCACAGTTTCCAAATATGATACAATAGCTCCTGAAATTACACAGGCAGAAAGATGTGGTAAATGCATTTGATCTTTGTTACACTGAAAAATAGGGGAAGAACAACCAAGTTTCTTCAGATCCATAAGCACCTTCTGGCAGGGAAGCTCTGAACAGTGCTTCACCATTAAAGGGTAAAACAACAAAGCAAGCCTCTTTTTTACTGTGTATAAAACTACTGGTAGCTGCTGTACATCGCATCACTGATTGTATTCAGCATTTCAGTTCAAAAACCCAAACTATTACGTAACTCAACTGGAAAAGCATCATCATTGCACATGAGAAAATGCTGTCTGTTACTATAAATGGGCACGAATCCATGTTCTCAACTCCTATGCCTGAGCACAAGCTTTTTTGTGAAAATGGTCCTGCTTACACTAAGTGTATGATGTCTGTTACCTTAGCCTCTAGGCAATACTCCAATGCACTTAAGAGTAAAAAACACTGATTCAGTTTAGCCAATAGCTACCTGGGATCTTGCAACTTCTCCCATTGGAAAATGCTATCCTGATAAATGGTACAATTTTAACATGAAGCACAAGGTACAGGAGAAACATTTCAACACAGTCACTGTATAATTTCATGGCACACAAACCCATACTTCCATAAAGACCATGCTTTTGTATGTGAAGAGTTCATACTATCTGAGCCACTTACAGACAGCAAGTTAATCCGTAACATTTACATGGCAAAAAACACAGGAATTTGCTTGACTGAAGACACCCCTATTTAAAGAAAAGGATGCTTCAAAATTACCTTGAAGTTGATTCTGTAACTTCTTTTTTTCAGGATTCTCTGACTCCCCTTCCCCATCACTGTCATTCCTGATTTGGAAAAAACACGAAAAACAAGAAAATGTTGAAATACAGTAAGGGAGACTGCTGACTTAGGATAAAAATCAGAATGCAGAAAGCAGAAAAACCACCAGTCTGAGGAATGAAAGAAACCTTGAGATGCCTTCAGATCTCTACAAGTTTACATCATTGTCCTCTTGTACTCCTGCTTTTCTACACCACGTTCTTTCTAATTCACCCTCCTCACTATTTCAACCTCCTCTTATGGGTCTGAGCTCTTTTAACACACTCCTACATGCTCTGAGCCAGCGTTTAGGAAACAAAAGCAACAGAGAAGCACTGAAATGGTTTATTTGTAGATATTGGCACTCGTCCCCTATCTGGAACTGCAACAGGACTTGGTCAATTCCCCCTAGTACTATGAAACTCTACACCATCATCTTGTCAGAACAAAGGAAACCGGAAGTTAAACAAGGGGAAAAAAGAGACTTAGTGAACAACTGGAGTGGAGGTCACGAAAATACATGTAGCCTCTGTGATATTAGCAATTCCTTCTATTATAAACCAGCAGAACACAGTACAGCTCAAAAAATAAAACTGATGAGACAAGTAGACAATGAAGGAGACTGAAAATCAGGTGAAGTTTCAAGAGACAACTGAACAACTCTAGCTGTTCAGGACTGCTAAAAAGGGCAATCCCACCAGAAGGTATCATCCTGAATCCTTCCCCTCTCCTATCCCCACAAAGGCAGTAGCAAATGCAAAAAAGGCTCTGCTTGTTCAGCTCTCTGATACACAAACGAAAAACAAATCTAATAGAAGGAAAACAGCAGATAAACTAATGCAGCAAGGCATTAGAATGATTCAGTCCATCTTACAAAACTTCACCCTACATAGAGCTTTGCACGTCTTAGCGAGCGTGAGACAGATCAAACTCGGGCCCTAGTAATCATCATTCTGAATTTATTTTCTAGTTAGTAAGTATTTAAATGTAGAAAAACGTTAAGGGTCATCAGACTTATTGCCATTAAATCCTATAATCATGTGTTAGTCTGAAACAGCTTTCATTCTTCAGTGAATTTCCTATGCAAGTGTTCGCACATTTTAGTAAACAAGCACAGAAATGCCCATGATGCTAATATATGTTATTTTTCTTTTATTAGCCCACTGTATTTCAGCATTAGTAGTCATTTGAAGCATTTAAAAAACACTAGTTAAAATGATCTTTGAAGAGTTGAATTTTAGAATAAGCTGAGTTCAGGAAGTATTTTGCTTTACCTTCTCCAAAAACATACCCTTTTCCATCAGTAGGACCAGACTCTTTAACTGGTTTTGGTGCAGTGTTTTCTCTCTTTTTCAGATATTCTTTCAGCTTTTCTGCTCTGTCCAAGTATTGTGTACATTTCATTCTAATGCTCTGTTTTGCTTTATCACCCTGTGCTTCATCTAAGAGTTTGAAGAGAAACAATGCTTTGTTAACAGCAGAACACATGTGCATCAATCAGAAAACAAGACTAAATCTGTCTTCTTTATATCTTATTAATATACCTCTCTCAGGGTTCACCACACAATCAAACACCTATCTTTCCACTGTACCACGGGAAGAAGTGACAGGAAGGATGTCATCACCTGCCAGAAATCAAATATACACCTCAACATTGCTTTGGCTTAAAATTTGAGAGTAAAGGATTAAGGACAATGGCACTGGAAGCTCTTCTGTCAGCCTTTCAAGCTGCTATACATTGTCTTAGTAACTCCTTTTCTAAAATAGCTCATCAAGAAGCTGCTTGTGCTAAGCAATTTTTATTTAGAAGCATCCTTTATTTTTCCATAGCCTACTAAATTTAAAAGATGTTCACTTCATACAGAAAAAAATTACATAAAACATCTGCAAGTTAGGTGTGGTTCAACAGCCACACTGTTCTCTTAGTCACTATTACAGTATTTCAAATCAGCAATCAAAATTTAACGTTAGGTTTATGTGTTGTTTCCAAAAGTACATCAGTATTGTTAAAAGCACAAAAAGTGATATTCTGATAAAGTCAACAAAATATAAGCTGATAGGAAGTGATAAACACAAATTATCCTATGTGACTATAAAGAAAATAGTGTTTTTTTCAAATCATGGAGATCTGCAAGTGCACTTATGTCAGGTGAGCAACCCTAGCCCACTTAGATTAGGGCTGTATCTACATTAAGAAAGCCCACTCCTTGCATACAAACACTTGACATGATACAAAAGGTACATGGAAGTGTGAAAAGGCATAAAATAATGAGAATATGGAAACTGAAGAAAAATTACAACATACAAAGACAGAAGTCCAGAAGAGAGACAAACCCCTGCCTTCCTCTCTTAAAAAAAAAAACCTAAAACAAAACACAAGTAAAAAAAAAAAAAATCTGACTTCTTACAAGAATGGAGCAAGTACACAACACAGTAAAGGCAAAAGCTACAAAATATATGACCTAAGTCAGACTACAATTTGCAAGTATCAGCTGATGAAGAAAGTAAAAATTTAAATACTGATGTCAGCGTAAGAGATTGCTCCGTCCAATTTGACTACTAAACTTTACTTAATCAACCAATACATTACACGTACATTTAACAACATGGAGAAAATACTGCACAGCGTGTTGGTACAAGCGGAAGGCTTCCTCATAGTTTCCTGCTTTATCTTCTTGTGCCGCCTTGCCAGCAAGCTCTATTGCCTTCTGTAACACAAGGAAATAATTAAGTGCTGTGCGAGAGCATTTTGCATGATGAAAGAGACATTTTAAGCTATTGCTCTGACTGTTTTTTGATGGCCGGTTTTTCTGCTCTTCAACATTTATCCCCAAAAGTCAAATACAATTGATTGCAAGTCTTAGGTGGTGCTTTGTACATGACCATATTTCTATCCTTTTATGAACAGTGATTAACAAACTGCTGAAATTTACTATCACACAAAAAAGTGTAAGTTAGAAGAACAAGTTTGAGTACTAAGTTGGAAGTACTACTGGCTTGTCTATGCAGTTTTCCTTACCAATCTCTTGCATTTATTACGGAAAGATTTGGAAATCCATTCTAAGTTGTGGGGTTTTTATCACAGACCCAGACACGTTGAACTATGACTGATGACATCAGCAAACCCTGTCAATAGCAGAGTCAATAAAGGAAGTACGTGATTACAATGCACTGAAACTAGCACCATCACTCTTCCAACCCTATGCTAGAAGACATCTTCAAGGACTGACTATTTGTTTGGCTTCTCTAGAAGGATTTAGGATCTTGATATCCAAGTGAGAAATTCTAATTACCACTCCAGTGGGAGGGGAGAAAAAACTCTACCAGACAAAGAATGTACCCAAATTGCGAGCATCAAGAAAAGTTCTAGGAGAAGTTATGGATGGATTTTTAATTTATTTGTTGAGCTAGTTTCAAATAAAACTGACTGTGATATAAGCCATCATGTTGCATACACCAGCCTGTGGATTTGTTGGTATCACCGTTATTCCTTTGCTCTTAATTGCTTATTACCTTTCATTACACTTTGGTCCTTGGAATGCCTATACCACTTCAGGACATTTAAAGCTGTCAGTTTGAACGACTAGTTCATGTAAGTTTAAAAAGGGCATCCTGTTAGCCAGAGTTAACCAAGACTAACTAAATCTTCTATAGCCCCACATGTATTTTTCCACAATTTCTTTTCCTAAGCATTGTTAGTATGCTCAGGTTGATTATGGTAATGTCAGGGAGCAAGGTGAAGAGCTTCAACTGCAGCAAGGAGTTTTCATTAGACATTCCAGTACAGATACTCTTGCCACTATCTGGACACTCTGAGGCGCTTCAGCCAAAACAAAGATAGTAAACAGCAGACATGAAAGAAGAAACAGCAAAATCTCTCATTCTATTGCTTTGTATTGCTGTCTTGGAAGCAAAGATCATCTCAACAGATGTACTCGACATCAAAGAGAAATCTATTTAAAAACAGTGATCCAATAAAGCAGACTCTACAGTTCTGTTGTGGCAAGTGTTGAAACACTGTAAGCACTTATTTCTTCGGAACAGAACTTAGCCTTTCCTTTTTGGAGAAGCCATGAGCTAATAAGCAGTTTACCACATTTGAATGGGCAGTCCCCTCCTTGCTGCTCACCTTGTGCTGGCTCTGTTAGGCCCCTCTATGCATCATTCGAATCCAGCAAAAGTGTAAAAATTAACCCCCAAAAGAAGTTACCTCCTTCTTAAAGTTCTTCGGTCCCTTAGAGACTTAAATTACCAAAGAACAGTCCAATGATTCCTGGATCCAGTACAACAAAGAGTGACAGATGTGACACTAAATTCAAAGAATAAATGGCAAAAACCACCTACTAAAACGGAACTGTGAGAAAACAGGGCATGTTGCAGCCCTGCTGCTCTGAAATAGAAGAAAGTCTACATCATGTACTGACTGTTTTTTATATACTCCATTTTTGTAAATACTCAAAGACTGTTACTTGGGTATTGGATTCTCAGCTCTAATTATATCAGCTGGAATCTTAGCCTGTTACTGTGATGAAGAACACTGCTATGAAACAGGAAATAAGTTATTAGAAAGTTCTATGGACTAGGAAATAGATGCCCAGCTCTAACTATCCATGAGGCAAAAGCTGTATTTATCAGGCTACGGTTTGATAGTTTGATGAACGTCACCCTCAGAAAGAACATCAGCTTAAACGTTTCATTCTCCTCCTGCTTATTCTAGACCCTGTGATATCTCCCCTAGCTTTGCCAGCGTAAGCATTACATGGCTGTAACGAGCTTACAGAAATGATCACAGTTCAGAACAGCTCAACAGAAGATTACGATTTTTACCACAGGTCACTTCTGGATCTGTTTTGCCAGCTAGCCGCGGGACCGACTAGACAGCCCCAGCTGAGGGTTAACACAAACAGAAGAGCAGAGCACGCAAAGGCTTCCTGCAGTCAGCAGCCCTAGAAGAAACCTAACCCAAACTGTGCCTCTAGACCACCACAGGCAACTGTGCCTCCCAGGCGGACATCAGGCCCCGCTGCTCCAGCGTCCCGCAGGGCTGCTGCCCCCGCCGGCCCGGCAGGTCCCGGTCCCGGTCCCCGTCCCCTCCCCGGGGAAGCCCGCCCCCCCCCCCGGGGGGGCCCACCGCTGACGAGGGGATCACCCTGCGGCCTCCGTTACTGCCGAGCCCCAGGCCGGGTCCCCTCGACAGCCCCTTACGCCTGCCGACGGGCGGGCAGGCGGCGGGGGAACCCC